TAACGTTTTTTTGCGTTAGTTTTCTAGTAACGCTTGCGTTACTCGTTATCAGTAACGCAATAACGCATGCGTTACTCGTTACCAGTAACGCATAATATAGTAACGCTTTAGTCGCATTGTGTCCGCAAGATGATAAAACAATACATTTTCGGTTGTTCGTCACTCATACGGTGATATTTGAAAGCGTTGCTTTACTCAGTAAAGTAACGCAGCAGTAAAGAAAATGTGCCACCCCTACAATGGAACACGTTTTCGTTTTTGTTTCGAGTTTTTAACTATTGCCGTTCACCAATTTTTCAGAAAACTCGGTTTTTCATTGTATCACATTACGATCCCCTCTTAAATTTAATCCGATCGCGTTCAAAATTTTACCAGAGGTACTCAAGGTCATTCCGCAGAGATAGTTTTTGCGAAATTTTTTTAAGACCTTTCCTGGTCGAGTTATAGGAAAAATACTGAAAAACGTCGCATTGTGAAGAAAATACTTTCTTCTATCAGACTATGTGTAAGAAAAATTTTGCATGTACAGAAAATGAGAGAAAAGTTTATGAGAAATGGAAAAAAAAATTGCTTTTTAGGTTTTCAAAGAAAAAATTCAAAAATCTCTTAACATTATCTGTGTCAAGGCCGCATTGTACTTATGAATTTCTATTTAGGTAAATTACGATGTTGTCCAACTTCTATCATATATTTTCGTCGGCTGCTAATATTTCGGCTTCATTTCTATTTATTTTATTTATTAATTACTGTCACCATAATGCAGGTGTTACTATATTACTATTATTATGAATTAATAACGGTTAACCAAACAATATCTTCCCCTCGAATAATGTATGCTATTCGAACAGCATCACATTTCTATTATAAACGTTTACATTATCTAATGGAAACATGGATTTCACTTGTTTCTGACGACGTTTATTTCGTTACAGATTCTCTACCGTCAAATATAACGACGATAAAAGCTGATCATATTCAGTTAACAAAAGACTGTCCGGATCAATCACATTCAATGAGTTCCTTATGTTGTAAAACAGCACACAGTTTTCTTTTATATCATAGATTTGAACATAAATACGAATGGTTTTGCCACTTTGACGATGATAACTACGTTAATAGTAAAAATTTGAAAAACTATTTATCAAAACTAAATTCATCGATACCCTATTATATCGGTCGAAATTCGTGGAATACATCATTAAATCGCCGTAAAAATCCATTTCCAGTATCATTCTGGTTTGCTACACTCGGTGCCGGAATTTGTTTATCGTCCAAACTATTACAATTATTGAAACCATATACTACAAGCATACAACATTTCACTAGTGGATGTGTTCGAGAAAATTATTTTGATGATATTTATTTGGGTTTTCTAATCAATAATTTCTTAAATATTACATTGACTAAAAATGAACAATTTCATTCACATTTAGAAGAAAAATTATTTGCTAAAGAAAATTTTATGAAGAATTTAACACGTCAAATCACACTGGGATTTCGTTATCAACAAATCGGGATCGTTAAAAACAAGTTTTTCAAAAATTAGGGTTTTCCACTTGTTTTCACTTGTTATTAAAAAATTCACAATTCACTCAAAAAACATCAGAACGAGTTCAGAACTTCAGGATATAGTTAATTCTGTCCGCTAGACATGATTACAAAATCGAAATAATAAAAAATGAGGTTTTTGTCCTGAGGTTTTCTAGAAACCCTTTTAGAAAACCATAGGGTTTTATCAATTTTTTCTTGTTGATTTCTTTTAAAAAGAATATAAAACAGCCTAAATACTGTACATACTGAAGTTTTGAACTCGTTCTGATGTTTTTTGAGTGAATTGTGAATGTAAGCGACAGTGCCTCTGGTTCCACTGTGAATAAATCTCAATCATTCGCTTTTCTGAACAAAGAAATAAATAAAACTGTTTATTTTCATTTACTTTAAAATGCAAGAACAAACAGAAAAATATGATAAATTTACTTCTGTGACAGAAGTAAATTTAGTCGACAGAAGTTCTGTCGACTATTTTTTAGTAGTAACGGTTAGTGGTAGAGTAGTTATTAGAAGTGGAACGCTCGCTGTAGTGACCGCTGCTGTACTGTCATGATGGAACCGATTCATTGAATATACATTTAGTTTTTCACTCTACACAACCTTTCTGTGTAAAGTTATAGAATTTAGACGAAAAGCCCTAAATTAATTCTTTCCTTCTTATTTCTGTATCTGTGAGCTGAGAATGAACATTTAGAGTTTTTCTTCTAAATTCTATAGCTTTGCACAGAAAGGTTGTGTAGAGCTGAGAGATGTCTCATTTTAATTAGAAATGTGCAGTCTATAATCAGGCCGTATTAAGAAAGGTTTGGGTTATTTTTAGAGTTTCTGGAAAACTGGAGGCTTAACTGCTCGTCTCATGTCGATATTAGCATGGTCGATTACCTATCACCCACTATGTTTCGTCTCAAAAGCGATTGGACAGTTGGGGGATCTCCCTCGTCAGTACAAATTACTTCCAAGTACAAGTACTGGAAAATCCGAGTAAATATCGTGCACATAAAATAAAGTATTAGCTTCGGGAACAATATCTATAGTAAAAAAAAACGTTATGTACAATCAAATACGTCTAATTTCAATCAGACTCATTCATTAGCAAGAGGAAATTTCCATAAAACTCCGTTTTTCATCTACTAAACCATTTTCTTCATAAATATCTACTTCATCCTACTAAAAATTTTCTATATAGGTGGCGCAGTCAATGTTCGTACTAAGGAAAAGAAGAAGATAAGTTATGCAGTTTAAATTTATTCAACTAGTATACATGAAGAGTTTAGTCATAAAACTTGCCGTTTTCTTCAAAATCAGCTGTTGTGTCTATAGGTTTTTCAGTTCATAAATAATCTAAAAAATACTCATTTAAACGAAATAAAATCGATGACCAATAACACATTTGTAGTATTCTTGGGTTTTTTCTGAATCTTCTGTTCGTTTTGCACTAGTCACTGTGTCCATGACACGTTCAGAATCACTTTTTCGATTTAAAGTCAAATCATTCCTATATTTCGGACAAACGCATGATCTCTCCATGGCTATAAAAAGAACAAAAAACATGTTAGTCATAAAAAGTAGTTTAAAAAAGCTTTGTGGAACGAACCATCAAACAAACAAAAACTTCAATTTTCACTTACAGGAAAGAATCAATAAGTTTCTTCCATTATCATCCAGTTTTGGTACATCAATTTCTACTGTAATAGAAACATTCCAGTTTCGAAATTAGAAAAGCTTGTGATTTGTGAACTGATCGTTTCGTTGTTGATGTGGAATAACCAGTAATCAATTCATTCGTAGTACTATCGCTTTTCGTTTGATCTTTTGCCATGGTCTGATTTACTTGTCTCGTGAAATTTCTAGTAATACAGATCAACATCAATTATCTCAAAACGTTCTACTGTTGTTCCAAAAAAAAGCGGTAGAAGTATAAAGAAGATGAACGATGAAAATAAATAGGAGTCATACGAAATATAATGCTCTAACTATTTCACAGAAGTAAAAAAATATCTCACTTCTGCTAGTTATAAAGTGTTCAGAGATTTTCTTAATAGTTTTATATTTGCATTCATGCTCATTAACAAACCTTCAATGTTCGATAAACTATTTGATGATGACGATATCTTTTATTATTGAAATGATTTTTACTTTTAATAAATATCTGTGTATCTTGAAGAATTTTTCTCAGAATCCAGATTATACATCTTAACAGCAGAACATATACATAGTGTATATTTTCGAATGAATTAGTACTCAAGTAACAATTTAAGTGCTTACTTAATATTCTTCCACTGTTTCTATAGTTTTCATTTGGACGGTTTATTTGACCATGTTGTACTAATTCATTAGGATCTAATATCAATGGATTCTGATTGTTACTAACATTTTACTTTACTGATATACGAAATAGTTTTCCACTAATACCACCTGCATTATTCTGTGTTTTTGAATTGTGTTGAAGATTTTCTCTCGCATTTTAGTATTTCATTGTTGATATCATTATGTATTTTTTGTTGTGCTGAAGATGAAGACTTATTATTATAAGTTTTATTCGATTTGTAATATTTGACGTTAACTGAAACAGGTATGTAAGGGGAGGATGTAGCTGTCAACTGAAGTTGGTATAAACGTCTTAATGCAAACATTTATCCAAAATTTTGTAGGAAAACGATGTCAGCTGCATTCTAAAATAAATATAATCAACATGTATTGATTTACTTAACAGCTAGAAAATTAGCAGTATCACTGGCAAATTGGAAAGAAAACGGCTTTCCCTCAATATCGACCATTGATTAGTACAAGACTCCGTAATTATTGTTTTAAACCATCAATCATTCTGAAAAACATAGTCGATTTCCTTGGCAAGAAAACAGAATCATCTGGCTGATCATAACAAAAAAATTAGCTGTTGATCCACCTGCTAATGACTTCTAGGCGAATTAGAAGTGAAAAATATTAGTCAGCCAATGTTGTTGAGTAAGTAATCAAAAGTGAGCAAAATTAAAAAACAATTATTCAAGAATAATTCAACCTGTTCTGGACAGAGACCCATAGAGATCTTTTTCTCTTCTTTCATAGTGTCAAAACTAAATATTTATTATTCATAAATGAGAAGACGAAAGAACAAACAAAATAAATACAATAATTCAACGGGAGAAAAAGAGATTTAATCTAAAAAAAATATAATAATAGTCTAACAAAAAAATCTGTTAAGAAAACATACGGTTAAGGGATCAGCAATTCAAAAACCGAACAAGATTTTTTTTCTCGCACCTATCACACATGGTTGGATAGAGTTCGTCGAGTTGAGTAAGACTATGTGTGTTTTGGTGTCTGAAATTGACTCTGTTTGTTGATCCGAAATTTGAAAAAATGAAATTTTTAATATTTTAAAAAAATGCTTAAACTTTTAATAAAATTAATGTTTGGGGCGTACTTTTTATTTTGAAGTTTCGAGACCACGTTTTTCTTGTTTATCATGATAAGCTTAGTCTGAAAACCCACTTTCGAGGCTATTCGGATATAAGATGGTCGAAAACATTTTCGGTTCAGAGGGAGATTGAAAATGGGGCTGGTACCAGCTTGCAAACATAACGTTTTTTTGGTTTAGAGAAATAGCCACTATTTATTAGCCAAATTTTGATTCGACCGTTTCATGATAGCAGTTTCTGAGTAAGTATGACAGCGCGATCGATGTGGCATTATAAAAAGAGTGTACTCAGACGATAGAAAATTACAGTACACAATCTGAGAAGATACAAAACTGCATACAGTACAAAAAAGATCATTAAAACCCACTTTTACAGAAAAATTTTCCTCTATACCCTCTACAAATCAGTCGTCCAGAGCTCTCGAAATATTGTCCTTTCGATT